TGGCTTCTAAATGCAGCAGTAGTATTTATCAATCAGTGTTCTACATTCTTGTTCACTTTTCTCTGTATTCTAGTGTAATTTCAGCAGTTATATATATTAATATATATTAATCACTGTTGTGATGAAGAAAATGGTATTTTGCTGCCTGAGTGTCTGTGAATGACATGGTAGTTAACAGCTTTGTAGTATGCCACACCTCAGATGTCAGTATTTTAAGACCATAATTAACTTAATTCTGCTGCTAGCACTTGATTTCACAGAAGTTACTTACTGGGAGATGGTCTGTGAGGAGCTCCATACTTTCAAAACTTAAAAAGTACTCTTTATAAAGGCTAAAAGACATTTGTAATAAAAAGATAACCTTTCTAATGTGATAGCTGTGCTGTGTAAAACAAAAAAAAAAAGCAAAACAAAAACAAACAAACAAACAAAAACAACTAGCAATAACAGTGTGTGAGATGATGAGGAAAAAAAGATTCAGTTTAGGTATTTCACACCTCACAATGGTAGCACCAAACAACACCTCACATGCACAATGGCTCTGTGTTTCTTTTCAAAGCTCAGTATAACTGGGTCTTCCTCTCAACTGATGCTTCTGTTGTTTTCCACTTGAAATAATACTGTGTCTTCTAGCCCACAGATATTGATCACAGATGTTGCTCTCAGGTTCAGCCCCCAAGGCAAAATAAGGTTAATTACTCTGAAGTACACTGTGATGGTGTGAGCACGAATATTCTTGAGGCTGGATTATAACTGATCGTGAGAAATATCATTCTGTATTTAATTCACAAAGAAGCGTGTAGTTCTGGACATGTTTCCCTGAGGAGAGGCACACATCCTAGCCAAATTGTAGCAAAGTGCAAAAGGAAAGGGAAGATCCCTTTGAATTTCCAACTTTTACAAATACTTATGTTTGCAATGTTTGTAAAGAGTGATCTGTATTTTTGTATAATTATTTTTAGTTACTTTTTATAGGAATATATTTTGAGCCATTATACAATGTAATTTAAAAATATTGTTGGTGAACTTTAAAAATAATTTAAAACTTCCATGTACCTTAAAGTCACATTTGCAGAATATATTTTTTATGTTCTATTAGTATAATTGCAGACTGCTTTTGAAAACACAAATATTTTTTTTATTTGACTGTCATGGTTGAGTTGTTTTAAGACTGTGTTCATTGCAAGTTAGAATCATGAAGCTTGTATTACAAGCATTGAGTCAGAGGAAAGTAATGGAGTAAGAGGAAAGCAATTCCCTGTGATGTTTTTGTAGATGACAACAAGCTTTTAAAGAAAAAGGAACTGATGAGGTTTAATAAGAGCAAATGTAGACTCTTGCACCTGGGGAGCATTAACTACACAATCTGTATAAGGTAGGGAATGACCTGCTGGAGCTGAGATTTGCAAGAAGGACCTGGATGTTCTAGTGGACAACAGGCTGGCCATGAGCCAGCAGTGTGCCCTGGTGGCCAAGATGGCCAGTGGTATCCTGAGATGCATTAAAAAGAGCGTGGCCAGCAGGTCGTGGCCAGCCTCTTTACCTGCTGTAGGGAACCTGCTTTGGCAGGGAGGTTGGACACGATGATCTCTGGAGATCCCTTCCAACCCCTACAGTTCTGTGATTCTGTGATTCTGTGACTTTACTCTGCCTTGATGAGACCACATTTAGAACACTGTGTCCAGTTCTGGGCTCCCCAGTTCAAAAAAGACAGGTGTCTCCTAGAAGGATTCCAGTGGAGGGCCACAAAGATGATAAAGGGATGGAACCATCTCCTGTATGAGAAAAGACTGAATAACCTGGGTCTGTTCAGCCTGGGGTGGAGAAGACTGAGGGGAGGGAGTTCTTATCAGTGCTAACAGGTACCTAATGGTAGATGGGAGGCAGGTACATGTGGCCAGGCTCTTCTCAGTGATGTGTCACCTAGGACAAGGAGCAAAGGCCTAAAACTTGAACATAGGAAGTTCCATAAAAACATGCAGAACAGTTTATTTATGGTAAGGGTAATAGAGCACAGGAACAGGTTGCTCAGAGAGGCTGTGGAGTCTCCTTCTATGGAGATTAAAGACCCATCTGGGCACCTATCTGTGTAACCTATGTATGCTTTAGCAAGAGGGTTGGACTCGGTGATCTCTTGAAGTCCTTTCCAACTCTGCACTGCTGTTATTCTGTGACAAAAAGTGAGACTAATATAACTTCAGATGACCACACTACAGGTTACACACAGTGTAAAACCATACCAGTTCAGTAACTTTTCCTGATGTCACGTACTCAGAAGAGTCAGACTTTTACTTACATATCTCCTGATAAATTTGATTTTAGATAACAATGCTGGTGACAAGGCATCCAGTCAAGATGAAGCAGAAGTTGCATCTGAAGAATTCAAGTTGAAAACCCATAGTCAAGCAGGAAAAATAAAAGAAGCAGAGAGAACAAATGTTTTAAGAGCACAGCAGAATTCGTACAAGCTTGGAGAAGACGTATCAGAATTTGGATGCAACAAAGAATGCTTGTCAAGCATTGCTGATGACAGACTAGGAGAAGAGGAAAGTCAGCCTTCGAAGCCTCATTCTCTTCTACCTTCCGTCATCCAGAGAAGAGAGACTGTAACACAGTTTCAAGGAGTAACCCCTGTAAAACTATCTCGGAGAGAGTTACGTCATATCCCTCCCTCTGAATTATCTTTGAGGCGCTCAAGCCTTGGGGCTGGTGTCAGTTTTATTGCTCCAGATTCCATTGAAATGGACAAAAAGTAGTACCACTAAGACGTGGTTACTCTTTATTGCATTTTTAGTGTCTGTTGCTTCTGAAGCAATGTTGCTAGATTTCCTTGTTGACGGTCTTGTTACATAGTAGCCGCAGATAAACCAGTAAGTCTGTTTTGGTTCTTCTGGCTAGTAGGTATACGTGATGTTCACACAGTTTCAGTGAATATTAGATTTTGACTAACATGGTATCTATGGGCATATCATTCAAAGTCCTTTTAACACTGTAGAAATTACATGATTTTAGTTTTTTTTCTCACCGATTTGGAAAATAAAAAAAAAACAGTTTTTCAAAAACTGCGCTGTGAAGTGCACTGTACTGGTGTAATTTAGGTTTCCTAGAGCAACGTTCTACTCTCTTGTGCCAGAAACAATAGTGAATTACTTAATTTATTTCAAGATATAGCTAGAAGATACCGTTTCCAGAATCTTGCCCAGTATTGATAATGACTGGCTTCTTTAAGCTTTTTTCATGGACACATTTCATGCAAACCATGCCTGAGATCAAAATTGATGCCTCAAGATAAATTTGTTATTTGAATGTGAAAGATTTTTAAAAAATGATATTTAAAAGTCTTATTATTTAAAAGTCTTATTGTATGAGATAAAAGTTTTACTCTCCCTCCTGTCCCTCTCCCCTCCTACCAAAAATAATTCTTATCTGCAAAATAGTTGTTATGGCCTATTTGTGAAATTAAGATAACTGCTTACTTCATATTACAGCTGTTTGTTGTGGCTTTTTAACAATTGAATTTTGGGAACCTCAATATGTGACATTTGCTTGTGTACTACTAGAGTAGGGAGGAAAAAAAAAAAAAAAAAAGAAAAGAAACAAAAAGAAAACCAAATTCAGCATCTTCTAGGGAAGCTAGATTGACAAATACAGTATTTTCTTTGTCCTCGCTGTTTGTGTCCTTCCATTTAGAACACAGATCTTTGGATTTCTTATCTGCTTCAGAGAAAGGACTAAACAGGTCCATTAGTTTGTTGTTGGTAGGCGGCTTAGGAATCAAAGCAAATCTTTTTTGTATGTGTACTGTGCTCACTGAGAAGTATATGCTTAACAGCTGCACAGACTTGAATGCAGACAACAGAAGGACCACAATTAAATGAATTTGACACTTCTATCCATAACTTTCTCCGGCATAAAAAGAGGAACTTCTGAAAATAAAATAGATTTTATTTCAGCAGTGGACTTCAAGTGGTCATGTTTGAAATGTGGGTTATTAGACACATTTAGCAGAATAATTTTTACTCTGCTGTTGTCTGGGCATGTTGTTGTGTATAGCAGATGTGTCTATAGATAAGAAAGAACTGCATTTTTACATGCTGCAAGCAAAGAACAATTTTGTCTGTATCACAAAGATATTAACAGCATGATAAATGGACCTATTGTCTTGTGGCACATTTAAGATTTTATGAGTAGACTGCAAAACGTTATATTGTAATCAGTTAGATAAACCATTTAACAAGACAAATGATTGCATCATTCACAGTTAGCATTATATTCTCTTGTTCAGCTCAGTTGTGAGATAAAAACTGGGGTCTTTTTTTGTTTGATTGTTTTTACTTTCATGGAAGTAACAACAGTCTTACTAATGTTAAATATTAGTGTATATTTCACTCCATGTTTGTAGACAAAAAGCAATAAACAGAAACAAGTAAATACTGTTTAAAATGCATACTTATTTACTGCATCTCCACATTAATTGAAAGAATTACTGTGAAAGCATTTCTGCTTAGGGATAGGTCTGCACATTATCGTATATCTCACACTATTCTACAAATAAATATTATTTTGTTTTGTTTTTAAGTTTCCAGAAATGAAAAGCCTGTTCTTGATGAACATAAAATAAGCAGAGGTAAATTTAAGAAAGTACAGTTCGATCAGTAGTAGATGTCTACTGACACTGTAGAGCAAACAGTCTAGTCCAACCTTTTGGTTTGTCTGGGCAGTACTGAGTGAAGAGGAATTGTTTTGAGCCACATATTGATTGTTCCAAAAGTAATACTTTCTATTTATTTGTATGCTGAGTACAACAGATCCAAAGAGTACAAGAACGCCGCTTCATACAGCAAATTCTCAAAATTCTCAGGTACAAAACACTAATTTTCAACATATGCACTACCATTAGCTATACATTTTCATCACTGATGAACGGCAAACCCTGCGGTACGCGGCCGTGGGCGCAGGAGGTCTCGGGCGGTGGGTGGGATTGTTTCTCCAGACGGACGGCATGCCGTGGTGACAGCGCAGCGCTGTGCGCGGTTGAAACCTCCCCTACTGGGACAGCCGCGACTCCGCTCTTATGGCGATGCCTCTGACAGAGAACATCTCTCCGAGGGAGCTAGTCAGCGGACAAGGATTTGGGCTCCCGCTTCACGTCAGCTGGCGCAGGTAAATCGCTCCGTGGCTTACGGAGACCAGAGTGGACTCGAGCCCCGCACCAGGCTCTCTGCCATTAGCGTTACTTCAGCCCTGGCGCAGAGGCCTCTCTCACCGCCACCGCACGAGAAGAGGGCAGCGGGCACACGTGCGGCAGGAGCACGCTTGCGCCCCACAACACCCGGGCCGAGCCTAGCGGCCGGCGCCGCTCCCCCCTCGACTCTGCCGTTGCAGAGTTACTTTGACCCTGCCTGGGTTATTTTGACCCAGGCAGGATCCCGTAAAGGGCGCCCGGCCGCCTCCAGGCCCGGCCCGGCCCGGCCGTAACGCCGCCGCGCGTGACGCAGCCGCGCAGTTCCGGGCCAACCAGCGGCCGCGGCCGATAAACAAACGTGCGGCCCGCGCTGCAGCACCCCGCCCCGCCCCTCCGCGCCGCGCTCCGCCCCCTGGCCGCGCGAGTCCGGCTGCCGTTCGCCGTCCCCCAGGCCGTTATAGCCGCCCGCCGAAGGGCTGTGGTCGTTCTGTTGCCTTCTCGCAGCGTCGCCGCGACCGGAGTGAGTGTCCTGCGGGTCGCGTCCGTCCGCTGCCTCCGCGGCTGTCGGCCGCCTGCCTTGCCTTCCTCCCGCTTTGCCCGCGGCGGTGCCGGCCGGAGACGGGGCTGCCCTGTCCTGCTCTGCCCGCGGCGGGCCGGTGGCCGTGGAAGGAGAGCTCGGGCTCTTTCTGAGCGGGCCTCAGCGGGTCCCGGCGGTGGAGCGCCGGCCGTTCCGTCCGTCCCGGGGCGCGTTGGGCGGCGGCGGGAGGCAGCTCGTGGGTCCCGTCCGTGCGCCTGTGGTGGGCGGCCCGGGCCGGGTTTACAGCCCCGTCGCCGGCCGTGCCGCCCCGTGCGACTCCGCGGCGCTCCGTCCCGACTGCCCCGTCCTTGACGGAGCGCTGCCAGCGGCCGCCGTCCCCTCGCGCCGCGCGGTGTGTGCCGGCTGCGTGCGGCACCCGGGGTGCGGGGCGCGGGTCCGTCAGAATGCGGTAACTCGCTCTCCGTTAACTTCTTCGGGGAAGGGAGAGCAAAAGTTGCGGAGAGCGAGCTTCGTCAGCGTGCTGTAAGGAAGTGAAAGTCAGACTTGCCTGGTCGCTCCTGCGCTTTCACCCTGAGCCTAAGGAATGATTTATAAAAACGTTCCCCCTCTCTCAAAATCGCCTACTTTCTGAGAATCGCTGTGGTAAATTCGTCCATAACCCGTTTGCCTTTTAAATGCTGTGCATCGGTGGCCGCTGTGCGTGCCGGAGCTGCAGCTTTCGTGTGGGTTTTGGAAGCAGGCTGTGTGGCACTGAGGTTACTGGGGGAGCTCACTGACAAGTGGATGGCTTGAGTTGGCTTCAGTAACTTCATGGATTTAGAACGCTTTGATGTATCTGCATAGTCAGTTGGTATAAAACACAAAGGTAACTGAAGAAAGGAAAGCTGGTGATCTGCCTGCGTGGGTCAGAACTGCCTGTAAGTGTGCTGGTTGATATAGGGCTTGTTGTAATAAATGTACCAATGGCCAAAGATCAATAGGTCAGGAGCACAAAGAGCAACACTTGGTCTGAGCTAGCGGAGAATGGACTTATGCCTTTACACCAACGAGTACTGTGTGTTTTAATGATGTCTCAGGTTTGCAGGCAAATACTGAGGTTGATCATGTTTGTTAAGCCTGTATAGTAATTACAGATGATCACAAATACTGTATTAATAGTAGAAGAAGCAAGAAGATTATGTATAGCAAGATGCTGTTTTCTAAGTTTCTGAAAATGTGCCTTTATTAAGTGAAAGAGGGTTAAAAGAAAACTGTGTTTTTGAGCTCTTCAGCGTGTTTTCCTTGGAATAGTAGAGCACCACATTTAAAACTGTTGTAATTCCCTAGATGCTTGAAAGCGTGCTATTGAAATTGGCCTGGAGTCTCCTAGATGGTGGTATACTGCTCGATTCTTAGTGGTGGGCAAACCCTCACCAGTTATATGTGCATTCATATGCAAAGCTGCACCCAGACTAGCAAGTTGCTGGTGTTCAAACTGAGTTAGTGAGTGTCTTAGCATGTATACTGGGCAGCTCACTGTAGCCTTTAAAACTACAATATTTCATAAGCTGCCTGGCATGCTTTATAGGTTAATGTGAGTCACCAATACAGTAAGGATTCCAAGTTACTGGAACTCTGGTTACAGTAATAATAATCTCCTCATGGAGACTGATGTGATTTGTAGAAGAGTATAACCAATAAATAAAACGCTAACAAGTTAATGGTTGAAAGTAATAACATATGCTTCTGTGTTGCCTTAAAATTATGTGGTATATATGTATAGTGCTTATCTTCAGTTTGTGATGCATAAAACTGCACAATGGGTACAGTCCCAAACAACTCCTGCAGTTTGGAACAGACTGCACAGACTCAGTCTGCTAGTGATATGCAAAGCAGAAGGCTTTGAAGTGGAGTTATTAGTTGGTGTTGCCTGTCTATCTGTGCAATAATGATGTTGCAACTTGGAAATCCATCACTCAGTGATCTCTTAATAGTACAGGAGTAATAGCACTATGAGACACTGGAGTCTTCTCTGAAATCTGTGACAATATAATTGCTGGCACAAAACACAAGTGGAAACAGTACCACATGCTTGAAAGCACGTTTTGCTTCCTTTTCCTCCTCTTGTAGGTTTTCACTGTAATCTATGTAGTAGGAAAAGGAAATATCTTGTTTTTAGATAAACAGGCTTTGGGTGACAGCCTGTTACTTCCCAAATTTTACCAGACTTCACGGTTCTTACTTGGAATCTCTGTAAAAAATCAAAGTGATGTTTCTGTTCTTTGCTTGGTCTGTGGAACTACAAAACTCTCCGTGATACTTGAATGCTTTCTTTCTGCAATCTAAAAGCTTCTTTAAGCAATGTCTCAAGCTCAAGAATGCAGTGCTTTTTATTTATTTTGATTGTCTATAGTAATGAAGAATACTTGCAGTTCTGTACTGGGGTTGGGGAGAAACTGAGAGGGGTACAGACAGATGTGTCTGTGGGCTAGCAAGTGCCTGTCATTAGCTGAAAGCTTTTTAGTTGTCCATCCACTGGTTTTCTGAGGCGGGGGCAGCGGGAACCAAAGTTTGAAACTGAAATGCTGTACTTAAAACAAATTATCTATCAGATCTGCAGATGTGATATTAAAATCTGAAGCCTGGCATGGTGGCAGGCTGGAGTGAATCACTGTATCTATCTTTAAATGTTGCAGAAGTGGGGTAATTAGATCCTGCTGTAATATGAATAGTTGTATTGAAATGTCCTACTAACTAAATTAGCAATGTTAACAGCTTTTCTAGTCTTAACTAAAAAAATAACTGGTGATCTCATGTGTTTGCTGTTTCCTTTATAAACTCTTTTCTATCTATTTCTATTCTATATAAACAAATATAATGGAGGAATAAACATTTCTGTTATCTTGTCATTGCCATTGTATTTCAGTGAATTGTAACAGTAGAATTCCATGGGTAGTACTTATTAAATATGCTTGTCAGCTGGACTGCATGCCAACTACATTAAGATAGCAAAGGTATACTTACTGTATTGTATTTGTAGATGAAGGAGTAAGGAGTTTGCAGTCATATTTCAGGATGGTGCAGGTTTTCATCTACATGTGATGGTTTGTGATTGCATGGGTAAACAGATGTATCTGCCACCACTAGCTGCCGTGAACTTTAATAATGTGTTGTACCATTTAACTGTTTGCATGAAATCAGACATATACCACAATTAATAGAGAGGGACTGGAGATTCTAGACTTTTACTGAGAAGAGTACTGTACTTCACTAGCTTATTTTCTTGCGTCGAATACAGTAAGGTGTCTGCAGTCTTCAGTGTTACCTGGTTAGTGCCAAGAGCAACATCCAGAACTGTAAGTTTTTGTGTAGCACAACTGAGCACTTGTCTCTGATGCCTTTTATTTATTTATTTATTTATTTTTCTGTGAAGGTGCATTTGTAATCTTCAGGTTCCAATTTTACTGCATGTTCAGTTAATAAGAGTACAGAGTCTCTCGTTTCTAACTAATCTCCTAAGCTGGATAACTATACGGTTACTGAGAATTAAAATATTAAAAAAGAAATGTCTGCATACTTGTACACATACAGATGTATGTGCCCCAAAATCTGTATTTACTGTGCTATTTTTGTCACTTAAAACATGACAAGATATAATATGTTAGGTGCTCTTGACCTGTGTTTTTTTCTGTATTTTTTTTTTCTCTAGGTCTGTGGTTGTGGTCTGATCAAAGAATCTGAACGTCAGCATCAGGTAGATTCACAATTTGTTGCATGGTATGTTTTATTCTGAAAACATGCCAGGTTTTGCTATCTTTCTTTCTTTTTGAAAGAAGTGCAGTAGGATAATGTCTGATATGTATGTCATACAATTCTTTGTGTGTCAGAAATGCTGTTTGTAACTTCTGTTAACTTGAACAGAGCGGTATGAGCTTACATGTTGGTTCCTTCATCTTTGGAAAGTGAAATGTCATATTCCTTTTAAATAATTCTTTTAGGTAACGGTTTTTGCTATGCTGTTATTGTTGCCTGTTGATATATGTGAGTATACTGGGGCTACAATAGAAGTCCGTACTTGAGAAAATCTGGAGTTAATTATTAGAAGGAGCCTGAGTCTTCTGTAGGTTCTCATGTGGGACAGAATTTGAAACTATTTTGTAGCAGTACACTATTCTGTTCTGTTGTGTAATTTTCCCCCTAGAACATGAAGGCCAGTTTGTTTAGAGCTGACTACTTGTGGGCTTTTTTTCCCCCCCTTAAATGCAGTCCCTCAGAAACAAATGCATTAGCTTAGAATAAACTGTAAAACAGATATTTTTTATTTATAGAGTCATTCTTCAGATATAAGCTACTACAATGTAGTTAAAATACAAAGAAGTGGTGGGGTTGTTTTTAATTCCAATCCTGTCTTGTACTTCCTGAGACAAAACTTCTGTGGGTGACAGAATCAGATTACCACTTGTTTTATCAACAATGTTTTCACTTTCAATTCTTTGCTACTTTCCCAGGAAACTCTTCAGTGAGAGAAGCAGCTGAGTAGAAGTTCAGACATAGCAATGGCATCTGTTGTGATCAATTCAGTTCCTACCACTGCATCTCGTTTTGCCTTACTGCAACTGGAAAGTGATAGTGATTCAGAATCTGGAAAAGGCAGAAGTGGCCAAGGTGCTGGTAAATCTCAAGCGTTAGAGGGTAGATCTTCTACAAATGAGAAAAAAAGAGAGAAAAGGAGAAGAAAGAAAGAACAGCAGCAGAGTGAAGCCAATGAGGTAAAAGGGTTGTAATTCCACCAATGGATAGTATTATTATCTGATTAAAAACCATTTTTTTCCTGACCCTGAGAAGTCTCTGTTTTTCTTTCTGTGAAAGGAATTCTACTGAATCAAATTGCATTTTTTTTCTTTTTCAAAATAGTTCTTCATACAAGTTGGTGTGTACTTTGTCTGATTAAACAAAAACGTCGCTCAAACTATAGAGCAGGATAAGGAAGTTCCTGTTTGTAAATTGATACTAGATTGTTTTTGTGCTGCCTGCGTGTGAAATAGAGGGAACAGAATGTGTGTTAATGCCTGTGCTTTTACCAGTGAATATCACTGAGTTCCAAAATTGACTTGATTTCACTATCAAACTTTTTAATTATGTAAAGAATTAAGATTGCACTGTTATTTCCATGTGGTGCAGCAATTAAAGGCAATTTTATTATAGGCTCTTAAATAGGACTGATTTTAGAGTGTTGAAAAGCTTTAAAGATTGTCTACCTAATTCTTTTTCCTACCAGAACCTCTGGTTCCTCTGTTGGTTGATACCAGGACTGTATACCACGTGTTCATTGGTATGGTATTTAATTTGGTTCAGGTGTGAGCCCACAGTAATATCTGAACCAATGTGAAAACTGAAGCATGTCATAGATCTGCTCAAAGTATTTTCACCTGCCAATATATATTTATTTTAAGTTGTGTGACTGGTGTTTCTAATCTACTACTAAGAAAAAAATCTGTATTATGGTATGTACTGTACTTGATTAAACAAAAACGTAGTCCAGACTATAGAAAAGAGTAAAACACATGTAATTCTGTTAGCCTGTCTGAATACCTTTATTAGTCTGTTAAAGCTCTTTCTTATTAACACTTCAATTAAGGTGAAACGGAATTTTGTTTTTCAGCTCAGAAACCTTGCTTTTAAAAAGATTCCTCAGAAATCCTCCCATGGAGGTTGTCTATCTCAGCATGAACAAAAACTGCATGCTACAATGCAGAAAGACTCTCAGGAAGAAAATTGGCAAGAGTGGAGGCAAAGAGATGAACAGGTACAGCTTACTATGTTCAACTGTCTGTGGCTTTCCTGAAGTATGTTAATCAGTGAAGTTATCTGCTATGCAGATTTGTTTTCTTTTAATGTAGTTCATTATGTATATCTTCTGACACCTCAATTCATTGTGGAGAGTGCAGTTTTGACTGCCTTGGTTTGCCTTTCAGAGTACTTAATTTTGCATAGACTTTTAAGAAGAATTGCAAATAAGCGACATAAACTGGAATTAAAAAGCATTTTTGAAACTTTTATTCAACTTCTACACTGGTATGCTAGCAGCTACTAGGATGCTGTTTTCACTTATGGAGGTTTTCATCTCCAATCTCAACAGAAAATATTGTCTTGAAAAGATTCCTGTTGTAGTTGAGAGAAAAATGTAGAAAGCTATGTTGACAAAAAATGACAGATGCTGTCCTTGGGGTTTTTTTTTTTTTTTTTTTTAACATCGCTAATGCTTTGATTATAGGTGATTCCTTAAATGTAGTAATGTTTTGCAGGACTCTGGATGCTTGTCCTATTGGTGGACTAATGATCTAAAATTTCCTTTGAAAATTTTCAGAGCTAATTAGCTTCAGAATTACTTCATGTACTGAACAAAACAAACCTGTACCTTAAATGTCTTTATATTCTGCATGCTATGAAGCAATTTTTTTCAGTTAAAAAGGAGAATATTAGTCTAATTATTGGATGGTGAAATTCTTAGACAAAGTAAACTCAATCATAAACGTTTAGATCCTACTGACATTTAGGCTATGCACTGTGAAGTTGCCTTGGATTTTTTTTTTTCTCTGTAAAATAACTGGACAGCAATTACCATAGTAGTAATGTCACCAAAATCCAGGAACAGAACTTGTCAACCCAATTGACAGGTTAGAAAGCTGACATTTCTTTATTGCAGAGCTGGACGCAATTGTCCTAGTGTGCACACCCAGGATCTAAAGCACACAAATATCAAAGATTTTAATGTGTGAATCTACATACAGTTTCCATGAAGTGCCTATTTCTAGAATAGCTGTATGTACTAAAATCTGACACTGTGCATGTGCTGTGTTGATGAAAATGAGAACTGTTTGAAGCATATGAAAACTACATTTTATTAGGGGAAAGCCTGGGCACTGGCTGCAAAGCAAGTTCAGCAGACTTAAAAATGTAGAACTCTCAAGCAAAATGGCACATCTATAACACTTTTTAAAAAATGGTTTGTTTGCCCAACTACCTTAGTTTAATCAAGCTTGCATCATATGTCAGTTATTGTTCTTAACTTTTGATTTCCTTTTTGTGAAGTTACACAGATTGATAAGACAGATAACACAGATACACAGATAATACACAGATAAGACTTGGAAAAATCTCTGTGTTGAATAACACAATTAGCATGTAGGCTCAAACTGCAATTTACATGTTTACCAGAGTGAGGATATATAGATTCAAATTCTTCATATTCAGAAGGCATGAACTACTAGTCAGTTTCTTTTGTCAAATAATACAATATCAATAAAGAGGTAAAATTTGAATGATATACTGTAATAAAGGTGATGTTCAACACCAGATGAGAAACCATGGCTCCCTGCTTCCATAACAATACTGTGGGAAGGGATGCTGCATCTTCTACTCTGTGAAGTGTTCCTTTTGGAATATTTACCCTTCAAATTATCATACTGCTGACACCTTCCTTTTCTAGATGTCTACCTGAATTCAAAAGTTAGATTTGTCTGAACCACAAAGCTATTTTATACATGTAATCCACAATACTAGTCTGTCATCTTCAGTTGCTTTAAGAGCTTTGTGCATTGATGTTAATTTGAGGGATTTTACATGTATCCAGAAATTGGTATCAAATGTGCCTCGAATATGTGAGAAAAGGAATGTGGTTTCTGGATTTTGTATAGGCTTCAGTGATAGTTGGCCTATAGCTGTCTGTTTAGAATAGAAGCAAGATTGAATATGCTTAGAAGGCCTTGGCATTGATGACTGTCTTTGAAAAAGTCTATGCTGCAGCTCAGCTTTGGAAGTAGTAACCTTTGTTGTAAACACAGCCAGCTTCCCTCAGCTCTGTCCTGAATTGAAATACTACTAGGTAAATTGATAAGATTATTTTTGTACTAGAGATTCCACTATATTAATATTTGTTTAATATTTGTAACAACATAATAGTTGTACAAATCCTTGATAATTTAGGATCTTGTATGCTAAATTATTACCTAAACACAGTATGTGATAAATGCCAATCTCACCTTCACTGTGAGCTTACCATGTTTTTTTCATGTCAGCTGTTCTGTTTTTGGTTCTTCCTTTTTCCATTCCCGTTCTTTTCTGTGCTCCTATGGATCTTTTCAGAGTAATAGGAAATTATTAATTTTTGGTAGATAACTACCATGGTCAGATTGAATCCAGCAATTCCCATGGGCAAAAGCAGTCCACAGATTTTGGAGGAATTTTAATCTATTTATTTATTGTCAGTTAACAAGCTTGTCATTACTGATTCTGGTATTGAAAGAAAACAGGCAAGTTTTAAACAAACAGAAACAGAATACCTCACCGTGGAAAAAAATCCTCAAAAAGAAACCAGAGAAAACCTCACTCTGCCTCTATGAAGCATCTCATCCCTACTTTTTGTCTTCCATTCTCCTTGCTGCACGCAGCACTCTGTCCCTTTGGTAAAGCTGTGAGCAGTGCAGAAGATGGGAGACCAGGGTGTGGTAGCAATCCTGTGAAAACCATACTTGTAGGCTCCCAGTCAAGCTGCTACTCCACTCCTCCTGTTAGGCCTCTGAGGCTGGTTTACTTGGTTAGTTCTCACCACCCTTCTCTAAGCTGTTCTCACAGGGGTGCTAAAGTCCTCCAGCTGGTTCAGCAGCACCACCAGCTTGGGCTGATGGTCTCAGCTATAGCTGCAGTGTCAGGCACAGTCCAGTCCCTCACCTTCTCCTGCAGGTGCCACCTTACAAGTCTTTCCTTACCTCCTCCTCTGTCAAAATCTTCTCCACTGTAACACTGTAACAGTTGTTACTAAGCTTGAAGCCACAAACTAGGCTCAAAGTTAGGAGTGACAGCATCTTGAAGCTTATGTGAAGTCTTGTAATAATTTAGTTTGAGAGTACTTTGTTTTAACCGTCTCATTTCTAAATATTACTTAAGTTTACTCTGGTAATAAAAACAAACAAAAAAAAAACAACAAAGAAAAGTGTCTTCTAGGGTTTTTTGTTTTCTCATGTACAAGACTGGTTATAGGAATTGTGGAATAAGAATTTTAGAGAATGCCTGTGCTTACACCATGTAATAAATTACTTTTAAGCGTATGACCACTCATAAGCTCTAAGGATTAGATAGCTAGTGTACACTACTCAGTTCAGCTTGGTTGAAGTACAGTAGGCAAATTAAGTCAATTTTTCACTCAACAGCTCTTATAGTGGAATACGTGTAAAGGACCTTACTTTAAAATACAAACAACAACAACAACACAAACCCGCTACGTAAAGTAGTTGTTGTTAATGATTAATTAATAGCACTTTGGCTATGGACGCGAAAAGGAGAAAGCTGTGGTGAAGAGGCTCCATTTGGCAGCACATCACTGTATCGATCCAGACACATCCAACTCGGGCGGCATGCGGTCCAGCACAGCTCTCGCTGCGGCCGCGCCCCCTGCTGCTGTGTCATTACGGCAGCAGCTCTGCCCCACTCAGCGCCCTGCCCCTGGGACGTGGGCATGGCACTGTGCTTCATTTGCAAGCAGGCTGTGTCAAAGATCGCAGTTTGAAAAGATATTGCGCGCAGAAACACGCTGCCAAATTTGATGTGTATCAAGAATGCTTTACAGACAAAATATTGGAACTGAAAAAAGTATGTCACCTCAATAAAATATTACAAAGTTAAAGCCCAAATGGCCTCTGTTATAAAAGCTAGTTGCATGATAGCAAGTTTGATTAAAAAAAAAAAAAAATCAAAGCCTTCTTGGTGGTGAGTCTGTTAAACAATGTATGGAAAGCATGACAGATACAATGTATACTGGTTAAAAAAAAAAAAAAAAAAAAAAGAAGGTGGATTTTCCTAAAAATCAGTTTGTCTCACCAGAGTGATGCTGCCAGGTAAACTGAAAAAATAGCAAAATTTATTTTTACAAATTTTTGGAAAGTAAAACTGTTATCTTCATATATTATTATTTGTTAACAGATGAAAGTACAGATATGGCTCAACTCACCATTTTCATTAGAGTTATTGATAACAAATGTGAAGAAATGGCTTCTTTGGTACTATTTGAAGACACAGCTAAATCTCTTGATTCATATGAAGCAGTAAAAAATTGCATTAATGTGATTTATTTTTTAACCTTTGTCAACGTGTCTGGTATGCTACTGATGGTGTCCTCCGTGGTGGTTGTTTTTTTTTAAAAGAAAAAAAAAGACTTAAGAAATTAATAGAAGATGATGCAATCACAACCTGAAACTCAGGTTTGATGAAATATCATTGCATCAAGCACCAAGAAAATTTATGTGCAAAGTTTTAAAAATGGGTGCCATGCAAACTGTTGTCAAAGCTGTGAGTTTCATAAAGTTCAAGGGACTGAATCATCACCAATTGTGGGAACTCCTTAAAAGTACGGATGCTGATTATGGGGACATCATTTACTTTTCTGAAGGAAGGTGGCTAAGTCAAGATAGAATGCTGAGAAAGTTATGATTAGTAAAGAGAAATTAAGTCCTTTATGGCATCAAAAGGATAAATTGTGCTGGAATTTGAAGTGTAAAAATGGCTTTCCAATTCAGCGTTTTTGGTGAATTTGACCTCTCATTTAAATTATTTAAACATGCATCTTCAAGGTGAAAATCATCTTATCTGTGCCATGTTTCAAACAACAAAAACAACAGAGGATGCTTACACAGAACAGAGATCTTCTTTTATGATGACACTTTTCATCCCTTCACATCTGATTTTCCTTTTAGACTAAATCCTAGGAAAAAAAAAAAGTAATATAAATAAATCTTCAGGGTGGAAACTATATTCCATATATATTTGTAAGCATATAGCCAGTAGTCCATCCATTATGCAGTTTTACAGAGCAAGTTATTTTATTGTTGATAATGCCATGTATTGTATCAATGAAGCTTTTTGCCAACTCTGCCAATATACGTATCAGAACAGAAATTTTAATGCGGTCTTAGAGGCTTTTTGTTGTTAACAAGCTAGTCACAATGTTAATTCTTTTGTTCAGCTGACATCTGAAATGTTTGAAGCTGATCTTGAAAAAGCATTGCTGCTAAGCAAACTGGAATATGAAGAGCACAAAAAGGTATTTGTAGGATTCATCCTGATTTGACAACATTAGAACTTTGAAGATTGAGTTTTAAAAGTAATCACTCTTTAAAGTGCTGTACATCTGGAACAGTGATAATTTGTTAAAAATATTAATGCAGATGTGGGGGGAGGTGGTGTGCAGATTCAAATGGATATCATTTAACAGCCTGTCTGATTTTAATAGGAGATAAAGTCAACTGATAGAGCACTGCTGTGCGCTAATAGCTCTTAACTCCTCCTAGATGAGTAAGTGTATTTTGAGAATAAAGATACAGTGGGCCTGTTTTTTGCTTGGTTGTTTTTTTGTTTTTTTTAAAAAAAGGAAGTGCTAACTTACACCGTATATTTAGCATTCTGCCTTCCTGCATTTCATTGCTTTATATTCTCAGTTTGATTTTTTGCTGTTTAGTGAAGAGCGATACTTCAGAAAGCAGAATGGATGCTTAATTGTTCATAGGCACCTTACAGTCTTTAAACCAATATGAAGCCTGTAATTGCTGTTGAGGCTAAAATTTCCTTTTGTATATCATCACCATATTTTTCCTTTATAATGCTTCAGGGAAAAAAAAAAAAAAAAAAAAAAAAGTTATTGAAGAAAATTATACCAGTGGGACTTTATTCTTCTAGGAATATGAAAACAGTGAATGTACTCCACCTCAGTCAAAGTCTGTGAATAAGAAAGAAAAAAGAAAGAATCAGCAAGGAAAAGACAAACCTCTCACTGTGTCCCTGAAAGATTTTCAGTCAGAAAGTAATATAGGTATGCCTTATCGTGCTGTGTGAGCTGTTCTACTTGGAATTTTGATAGTGTGTATTCTAAAAGCAAAATGCCCTTCTGTCTTTGTTCATTAATGTGGTGTTTGAACAAATTCTAAATGAGTTGGAGCTAATATTTAAGACTAAATCTAAGAGCTAAGCGTTCATTATGTAATGTGCAAGTTGAATTATCAGGAAAAAAAAAAAAAGGAAGAGGTTACAGAAAACATAATTTCATGTATCCCTGGGGTGGGAGGTAGATTAACGTAATATCTTCATAAATCGATGTTACTGTTTTTGTTTTGTGTTTGTTCTTTGTTTGATTTTTGTGGGGTGTACTGAGTTTAGTCTCCTCAGGCAACTGAGTTTTTCAGATCTGAGTAATAGCAAGTCACTATTTGCCTTTCTTCAATACGGTCTTTCATTAAATATTGAAAGTATTTGTATATGCTCATTTTTACATGTTTAGAATTCTTTCATCTGTTTCTGTAGGGCAGAGGTTGTGGATTTTACTGAAGAAATAAAGGTAGAGTCTGGAAAAGGAAGAAAGTAATTTATTTTTTAAGGTTTCTTCCTAAGGATATTTTTATCTAAATAACAATATTTTCAGAGAATCTGAATATAAGAAAAAGACTGATAGCACAGCATTAATATCTTAATTCAAAAGAATGAAAGGCATTCAGATATACAGTGGAAAACATGCCTAAATAGACTTTAAGAACAGTAACAACCAAATAGTAAGTTTATGTACCAAAGTCATTGTCTTCCACTTTAAGTGAAGCAAATGCATGAGGGATGCTGCTTTTGCTTTTAGTAGTAAGAAGGATGGGGATACCAATATAGAGATCAGCCCCAACCATACTTCATAATCCTTGCTTCTAATCAAAGAATGTCAGGCATTGGAAGGGACCTCAAAAGATCATCTAGTCCAATCCCCTTGCTGGAGCAGGAACACCTAGATCAGATCAGACGGGAATGCATCTAGGTGGGCTTTGAGTGTCTCCAGAGAAGGCAACCTCACAATCTCTCTGGGCAGCCTGTTCCAGTGCTCTGTCACCATCACTGTTTACAAGTTTTTTCTTTTTCTTCAGTGGAACCTCCTATGTTCCAGCTTGCACCCGTTGCACCTTGTCCTTTCATTGGATGTCACTGAGAAGAGCCTGGCTCCATCCTCATGACACTCACCCTGTATTTACTTACAAGCATTAATGAGGTTATCCCTCATTCTCCTCTTCTTCAATCTAAAGGGACCCATCTCCATCAGCCTTTTCTTGTAAGGGAGATGCTCCATTCCCTCAAATGCTTTTTTTCCTTTTTTAACACGGCTTTTAGAGGTGGGTTAACATTGAGGAACTCCACTATTGTTTTCAAAATAGCTTGTTTTAATAGCAAACAGTGTAAGATTTGAGAGACTTACTGTACTTTTTTCTTTCTGTTCTTTTCAGATAATGTTGCTAAAAAACATGAGGTAAGTCTGAATTTTTTATTAAATGAGTTAGTATAATTCTTATGTTTAGGAGGTAATTACTCAGGCACTCTCTGTATTGCCAAACTACCACTATTTCCAAATTGACTTCTTTGCATTTAGAAAAATTTTACAGATGCATATTTAATAGAGATGTATGTCTGTAGGTACAGCATTTGGCAATATAGCATTGGCTTTCTTAGAGCTAGTGCCTGTTTATTTAGTTTTCTGAAAATCTCAAACTTTGATCCAACTTGAAAATGTAAAAGAATGTTTATAAAAAAAAAAAAAGACTGTTGTAGAAAAAAAGAAAAGCAAATCAGGTAAGAAATTGCTGTAATGCTATCATGCTCTGGCTCAGTGCACAAACATAAAAACATAGCAGGAAGAATAGTTGACAGTGAAGTGAAACAAATCAGTGACAGCATAGTGCAAAAGTATAAAATTCTAATTTCATGTTTCTGTCAAATTCATAATCAGTTAAATGTTGACTTTTAATTTCTAGGCTCTTCATTTAGTATCATATTCTCTAGGTGGAAGTAAGAATATTCTCAGGATCTATGAGATTTAAATAAATAAATCAGAATGTTGTCTTTTTTTCCATTACTTAAGCTATTTTTAAAGCATGTTGTTTTTATCTCATTATTAATTTGTATGAAGGGAAATCTGTTACAATACTTACTTTTAACAGGAACCAATCTCTTCTCAGACTCTGATGAATGATGGAGGATTTTTCCATAAGCTGGAAGATGATGTTCATAAAATACTTGAAAGAGAGAAAAGGAGAGACCAGCTCACTGATTGCAATGAAATAGATAACTGCACATCTCATGAGCACAACCAGGCATGTAAAAGGGGAGTCACTCTCAAGTGAAGAAGTGTCTAACAATTAGAAAAGAGCACCTAAGTGGAAGAAAACACTAATCAAAAGCATGATAATCTTAAAATAAACAACAATTAAAAATAACAAAGACAAAAGCAACCAAATATTAAAAACCTGCAACACTGTTTTTAATACTTTTGTCTATTGGAAAAGGTATTTAAATCAAATGTGATTCAAATAATTGCCCCACAGAACATGCCAATATCCATTCCTGCATTTCTTATTTATTCTTCTGGCGTTTGTGCAGATATACTTACCTAATTTTCATCAATGATCCTAGTTTACAGTAAAAAGAAATAAGTTGCCTTTCACAGGAGTCAAATTCAAATTGCTCCATTATTAACAAATGATGCTTCCTTGTTTACAGGAGAGTGGTATGAAAGGTGGAAAAACAGAACAACTAAAATTTGAGCTTGAAAAGAAAGATGCAGAAATTCAGCAACTTAAAAATATAATAACTCAGTGGGAGGTACGTAGCTTATAATAACTTCAAATAGTAAACAAAATCTAACTTCAGTCACATCTTAATACATATTCTAAGTGTGTAATAATCTGTAGAGATGGTTTAGCTTGGTCTCAGATTATCTTTACAGAGCAAAATTATTCTACTATCATGTGAAGTAGTCTTTCTTGGTAAGTTAAAGATTTAAAAATAGTGAGAAGAATCAAGACAAAGCATCCAGACAAACTTCCTCTCTGGTAAATCTGCTACTAGTTGCTTCTAGTATTGCTGCGTTGTTTATTGTAAAAAAAAAAAAAAAAAAAAAAAAAAAAAAAAAGTCCTTACTCAGAAGTTAGCTCTTCTTGGAGCAGAAGTTGGATTTTCTTTGGTCTTTTCCAATTTATATTATTTATTTATTTAATTTACATTTAACTAAGACTAAGCTTTCCTTGTATTTAAGAACTACATATAGGATTGGATTTTTTGTGTTTTTTTTTTCATTTTTCTCTTTGGAGATTCAGTCCATTACCTGAAGTGCTGAAAGACAACACTGAAAGAGTGAATATTTTGTCAGGTTTTACAGGACTCCTTTAAAGCTTTAGTATGGCAAGAATGGAGTCCTGTATTCCTATTAGACACAAGTAAAACTGAAATAGTACATGCTAAAACACGTAAGGAAAATAATAATTATAAGGTATTGTCAGAATATCTGGGGAAAATGACTAGTTGCTTCCATGTTTTCAGGTAATGTTAGCATTGTCTTGGTAGTGTCTAGAGAAAAAAGGGCAAAACATCCTTGTGTGACAGATATTGTAACAAAATAAAGTAGTGTGGAATTGCTTTCAAATTGTTTTAGTATGACTTGTATTCATGCTTAGGGTAGACTGAGCAGGTTGATTCTGGAAGTGTTCTTTTGCTTCAGAGGAGTTTTACTTGTAGTAATAAAGGCATGAATTTCACTAGAAGCTGTTTTCACCACGCGCTAGAGTTGGACTCCCTGTGTGAAATTTTTTTGAGCTATAAAGTGATATGGATTTACAATATTAGCACGTTACTGCATTTGGCAGAATCAACACAATGCATGAGGATATTGGTGAGGTGATGCATGATTGATTTTTAAAAACAGCTGCTTGATTTTTCAAAACTTATCTAGAGACTCTCATACTGCTTGTGGCCATAAAAGGTCTTGCATAAGTGCATGTTTTTGAAAATTTAAATGCTGCATCTGTTAGAAAGCACTCTCATTATTGTCTGTGGTTGTGTTACAGTGTTTTGGTACAGTGGAGTTGAAGGTTCTGTTTAAAAGGAATGTTCAAAAAGAACAAAAACAAAGAACGCACTAAATCTGGGGGAGCTGCACATGATAAGCTTATGCACATGTGCATAGTTCCATGGCACTAAGTAAGAGGGCACTGCACTGCCCATACTAATAGCTTTTTTCATGTTTGCAATTGACTGGAAGGTAAACAACTATTTGGGGGAAGTAAGATTGTTTTTTGAGATCCCATGTGATATTAAATGAGAAGTGGTAGATTCTTTATTGAAGAAAAAAAGGATATGTAACTTCTTAGTGAACGGCTTTGTGACAGAAAAAGAAAGTTTACAATTAAGATATATGGTTACTGCTGACAGTGGTGATCAGTTAAGGAAAAGACTGCCTTATGAAAAAGTGTAGTTAAAAAGCATAAATAAAAAAAGGAAGGAGAGGAATTCCTGAGGTGGAAAGAGTTAATAAGGAAACTGTAACTAAGAACTGTGAATTATAAAATTATCAGTAGAACAGTGAGATCTTATCCTATTAACCAAGTAATATGACAAACCATTTATATTGTCCAGAAAGTTTTATAATTATGCGATATATGCTTTTTTTTTTTTTTTGGAGAAGCCTTAAAGCTTCTGATGCAATGGGCCTATATACAGGTTTAGCCAGATCTAAATTGTGGTTCCCAGTGACGAAACTTTCTTATTTCATTAAAACTTGTGCTTGCCTTAATTTATTTACTTTGCTATTAACCGATTTTTCCTGTCATGTATTTATTGCTTTGGCTGTTTTAATTCTCTGCAGCAGTCATAATTTTCAATTCTGAAACCTTTGAGTCATGGCTCTTTAAAGAATGCCTTTTTATAGTGTATACAGGTAATAATTTATTTTCTTTCACGCAGGCGAAATATAAAGAAGTAAAAGCAAGAAATGCACAGCTTCTGAAGATGCTGCAGGAAGGTGAAAGTAAGAGATCCATCAGGAAACTTGGGAGCTCTTTTGAAAACCTAGAAGGAACTTTCAAATCAGATTTTTAAAAATAAGTGGGCACAGTGACAGCTATAAGGAACTAGAAGGCTATTGATTTGCAGCAACTCCAGTGAAATAACGCGTTTGAACTACACATATCCCCACATATCTACGCATATCTGATATTATACCATCAAAAATTCGTTGCATTCTGATACTTTTCTGTGAAATTTGAGCTGCTCAGTTACGGTTTTAGTGACACTTTGAGTTAAACTGTGTATTGCTAATGACTTGATCTGTTCTGGACTGATCTTGCATCAAGTATCTCAGATAATGGTAAATGTTCAGTTCTTGTATCTATGCAAGCTGTGCTTTAAACTGTTGGACACGAGTCTTTTACCATACATTCAATAGGGACACCTAACCAGAGTATCATATGTGAAACTCTGGTAGTTCTCTGTTGTAACTCTGTAGTTCCCTGTAATTCATTTTCTGTCAAAGATTGAAAAAAAAATATATACATACATATATACTTAGATCCACGTATGTAAATATTCTAGTAAATTTATACTTGCTATGCATAATTATCCTTTAATATCCCTAATCTTGCATGATGGTTTGGTTTGGTCTGTGATACTAATTTTCTTACAAAGTTGTGTTTGCTTTTCAATTTCTTAATTTGGCTCTTGAATGCAGATTATCAGAGTTAGCCCTTCTTAACTCAGAAATCTAGGTTTTTTTTTTAATGTAAAGTCTGCTTATAAGCAAGCTAAGCTGGTTGAAACATTAAGATGATTGAGCAGTGCAAATTTTAGCTGATCAGACTTTATTACTTCAGGTCAGTCTCTGAGTCAAGAAATGTCTTCATTATGTGAGAGTAAAGGAGTGAAGTTCTGAAGGCTTTCTCTATGTATATGGAGTATTAATGTAGAATAAACGAAAGCAATTTTGTGGTTTTACCGGATCTGATCTTGCATCGACTGGGGCTATTCTATATTCCATTGGGATAGACAGTCCATGGCAAAATTGAGCCCTGAAAAAAGCTTACTTTATATATATTGAGAATTTTAATTTATCCACAGATACTTCATAGGTGCTAACTAATTTAAACAGATCCGTATTTAAGTAGATACGTAATACTAGTGTAAACTTCTGTGGCTGTGACTGGGCTCACATGAAGCTTTCAATTCAAAATTTTCTTATGGACTTCTTTCACAGTGAATGTCTCTAAAAATCCTTGCTGCTTACAGGGTTAAGTATGGGTAAGTAGTGCAAGATTGGGGTTTAATCTTCAGAACTTACTGAGCTGCTACTAATGGCACTGGCAACTAATAATTACTTTTGATATCACAGTGCTGTTACAGATGAAGACCTGCAAATACAGAAAAATTCTCATGCTGTTTCTTTCTCTCTGTAGTGAAAGATAAAGCAGAAATACTCCTACAGGTGGATGAATTGCAAATTATAAAAAATGAATTGACCTTACAGGTAAGCAAGGATTTTTTTTTTGCATTTAAAAAATGCTGGTTAAGGCAGTCATAGGAGGAAACTGAAACCAAAACTTTAACCAGAAGATGTTACATTCGTTAGCCCAGCCCACTATGTGTCAGAGAACTTGTACCTCTGCTATTACTAATCACTTAGTTTTTTTCTTCTGTTAAGACAGCAGACTCTGCATTCAACAGTAAATTTGGAATATCATCCCTTTGTAACTAGAGATAGGAAGTTCTGAAAGGTGTTTCAAAAGATGTTTCTTTCCTGATGGTTGTTTTTGTGGATTTTTTTATTGCTGCCATTAGTTTTGGTTCCTTCCTCCCTTCCTTCCTTCCTCCTTTCCTTGCTGTTTGCTATCTCTGGTCTCTACTTTGAAAAATGCTGGTCTATGAACAAAAGTGAGCTACCGATAACTCGCAGACGTGACTGTTGGCAAGCCATCATAGTGAAGAGCACTCAAGATTTTTATGCTTAGTTTTGGTTTGCAGCTACTCTTACTTTTAAGCCTTTAGCCCACTTAATGTTATATAACATGGTACTGATTTTTAAACATGATGTATTAATCTTATCTCTGCTGTGTCATATGCATCAGTTAAGTGTTCTGTGGAAGAAATTAAAGCGAAGTCCAAAAGTCAGAAGAGTTTCTGACTTTATGGCTTTCATGTAACATAAAGTAAACCAGTGAATATTGTAAATGTTGTGTGGGAAATAATGGTTGTTAAAGAATATTTTACTTGTACTTTAGTTGATGTGCAATCACACACGTTTACTTGCTTTTCCCCTTGAATCCAGCATGTATCACTGATGACTTAATGACTTACACTGATGTAAAATTGTAAAGCATGCTTTATAAATCAGTATTCTATACATTTTTAGGTAACTACACTTCATGCTGCATTAGAGCAAGAAAGGTCCAAAGTGAAGCTGCTGCAGGCAGAATTAACAAAATACCAGGTATTGTCATTTTACATACAGTTAAGTATGTTAGTAACTGATCTTTTTAATTTAAAATATAATTAGTTCAAGCTGTAGTTGGGGACTGGGCTGGGGAGAGGGACGTCGTATCAAAACAAAGAAAGATTTGGCAAGTAGAATTCTGTTTTGTACCTTGAAACTTGAACAATGCTGGTAAATAGTGAAAGCAAGATGTTCTTTTCCTATTCTGTGTCTGTGTGCACTAACAACAGACTTCATAAAGGTGGCTTTTTTTGCCACATTTTTTCCTCATTTCTGTTTTACAGTTCTGCCTCAATACAAATGTTCGTAGGAAATTCATATCAAGTTATGTTAAAATTCATTGTCTTCCTGACTGCACGTTCAACTTCTAATATCTTCAGTAACTAATGGAAATGATGTTTAGTGAATTTATGTTAACTGCTATATAAATAGTATGATGCTTAACATTCTGGCTTTTTTTGAAAACAGCAAATATTTGATCCCAGGAGATTGAGGATGTGTATTTGGCCATGGCTTTGCACGTCTTAGTATTTTTCCTTTGGCTGTGACTTTCTGTGTAGGTTGCAGGGACAGCCTGCATTTATTATATGATAGGAGCTCTTCAGATAGTCCTGTAGCCTCAGTAGCTTGTCTTCTTCCATTACACAAATAATCTAGCATTATGTTGGTTAGTAAGTGTCCTGTCTTTTTCTGTTGACTTTTCCTCCACCTGTCCTTTACCATAAGTAAGGAAGTTGCTGCTTACAACTGTCCTGCAGCAGTGCCAAATGCAGGTAGTTCAGCCCCTTATAGACAAGCTTTATGGTGAAGCTGAGTGCGCATTCTGCTGATTGAAAATAATATTGTAAATAAAGTGAATCTGTTACTGTCAAATTTATTCATATCACTGTTCTTACAACAATTGTATTTTGCTAGTGTTTAGTTCTTATTTGTAACCAGACCATTTTCAGTAAGAATTTATTTTTTGATTACCTATAATAAGCAGGGTTAACAGAGTAACAGCAGAGACTTTATTAAAAAATGTGGTGTTCATTATGTGCATTGTTATTACTCCAAAATCATCTTCCTGCCACTCTTTATATCTCTGCTCACCTCTATTATATGATTTAATCTTTCCAAATCCTGCTATATTTCTTTTTTTATCCATCATAATATTTTTTTTTTTCTTTTTTCCCCCTGTTTTTCTTGTTAATTTGCTTCTTTTAAGAAAATAGTTTTATCTGCTATGCAGGGATTGTTTCTGCTTTTATTATTCTCCACTGCAATCTATGCATGGAGACCAAGATGACACTTTTAATTTTTGTGATATTGTGTTTTGATGATACTGTGCCCACTTTCTTAACTGAAAATTGTTCTGAACCAGGAGGACACATTTCAAAAAATAATAAACCAAAAATGTGTGTTAAAAATTACAAAAATAGTAATAAATAAGAAATAAATAAGTGTATTTTTTATCACCAGATGTTAAAGGCCTGTGTGCCTACTGCCAGAGTTTGGAAAAAAGATGTGCTACCAAAGGTATAGAAAGCATAAGTTGTGGTTCACTTGCACAAACTTGACACACACAGCTCTATAGGACCAGACAGGATGCCTGCAAAAGAGCCGAAGAAGCCAGCTGATGTTAGTGCTACTCCAGTCTGTCATCTTTGATCATTTGGAGAGCATCTTTTATGTGGGCGGATAATACTAAGACAAGGGGGAGCACTTTAAAAGAGGGGAGATTTAGGTTAGATGTAAGGTGGAAATACTTTTCTCAGAGGGTGGTAAGGCTCTGGCACTGGCTGCCCAGAGAAGTTGTGGATGCCCCCATCTCTGGGGTCATTCAAAGGCAGGCTGGATGGTTTCTTAGCCCCACAGCAGGTGGCCTTGAACTAGGTCCCTTTCACCTAATTTGTCAATTATCTATCATTTAAGTACCTCGACTGTTTTCATTTATTTACCTGGTGTTCAGATGGGCTCATGTCCCATAATGTTTGTGTAGTTTTAAAAAACTAGCCTTTTTTCCTTGCTAATTGATGCTGCTTCAGTATAAAAAATAACTGCAGATAGAAAATGTCAAGTCTACTTATTAACTATATGCTTGTTTTTATTCTTTTACAGAGTGGGAAAAGAGGGAAAAAGCACTCAGAATCTGACCAATACAGGTGATCTCCTTTGCCACCAGATTCAATACAGAAAAAAAAAGTAAATCTTTCTTCAGGGTTTTGCAGAAATTCATATATTTGTTGTACAACTGCTCAACTATGCAGTTTTTGAAGAAAAAATAATAAATACTAGTTTAATTAACATTCTGAAAACTTGATTTGTTGCGCTTTCTGCTAAAGAAAAGTGAGAAAACTAGTATTCTGGCAAAGCTCAAACTTTAATTGTAATGCCATTAGTTTTTCATCATTCAATAAAACTTACTCTTGCATTTCTGTGTTTGAATTCTTGCTTCTGTAGATATTTCGAATTAGATAGCTTCACTTAAGCTTCACTTAATCTGAATTTAAGCAAAGGTGAGGTGATAAAGGTAAAAGAAAGAGAAAAAGGCTCCTGTTCTTTGAACATGCTTACACTGCATAGGTCCTACACTACTTTTATGATAGGTGTTTTAAAAAAATTTACATCTGGAAGTTTTTCGTGCTGAAATTAGGAATTAATTTCAAGGGAAAAAACAAGGTCTTAAGTAGGGGAAACTGAGGTGTCTTTGCCCAGAAGAAAAAAAGAAGCTCTCTACAACAGGTTAAGGAGACCAAGAGCATGGAGGAAAGATAGAAGGCGAAGTACAGGGAATGTACGCAGCAGACCTGGAGAAGCAAAATTTCTGGGATCAACATGACAAAGTATTACTTAAAAAAAAAAAAAAAAAAAAAAAAAATTATAGACTAGAAAATATTGTTGTGAATCAAAACAACAAAAATATATAGGGCTTAGGTACAAATGCAAAATTCTTGTTAACTACCCAGGATAATAAAATATTTTTTAGAAAATTATTTTTTTTACTAAGCGTTGAGTGTGTACTTATTGGTAGTTACAGTTCAGAATCTTGGGGCTCTATTTCTATCAAATGCTTCCATAGAGTAAAGAGAAATCCCACTGAAAGCGAGACACAAGCATTTTATTTGTTGGAATTGCTGATGAGCTAACAAGATGTTATATCTGAATCAGAGGGCAACAATGTATTATGCTCATGTTTTCCTGTATGGCAATATGTCCACACAGTGGTCAGTAGAAGATCATTGTTGTCTACTCAGCAACAATTTATTATGCAGCTTTTGTTTCATTTTTTTTTTTTTTTTTTTTTTTAACTTAATCCCTTTAACTGCATCTAAACAAACAGTTATAACCTTTGTTCTGGCTAATACACGGATAGTTGTTTTTCTAAAGATCCTTCAAAAACAGAGTTCTATACTCTTTCACTTTTCCTATGTTAAAACCTGGTTATCAAAAATGTGTTACATTTTGGTTTTAATATTCAGGAACAAAAGGAATGTAAAACCTAGTTTATGGTAAAACATTGGGGATCTTACATGTAAATAGTACAGTAGCCAAACCACCTGAGTGAGACCTTGTCTAAACTCAAAACTGCATTGCTGACTTCAGATAGAACATTAAACTAAGACCATCTAATGATATTCTTGATTTGTTTCAGCTTCACTTGAATTGGTATTTTCACTTTGATTCAAAATAGTGCCTAGTCACTGTGAACTCTTTTTCTGTTGTTTAAGCCAATTTAGATAAATCCTGCAATTGGAACAGAAATTAATGAAGAAAAATTGCACAAGCGTTTACAAAAAAAGTGGGAAAACAAGCACAGATAGAAGAAAGTGGTAAAGAAAAAGAGCAACAGGAAAGAAGTGATACTGTTTAAGAAGATAGCATCCTAAGGCAGAATAGGAACTCAAAATTGTTTGCTGTATTATTTTTACTTTTTTCCACACATTATGTATAAGTTGCATTCTGAACTGTCTTATGGTGAGCACACATTCATGCAGGCAAATGAACACTCTTATCTCTGTTAGTTGTACCAAAATTATGATGTAGAAACATCAGTTTTCTGCTCAGAGTATCTCTTAATTACCTGTTTAATTAAGAACTTTCAATAAGTTCAGGTTCTTATTTTGTGTGAACATGTAGTACTCCTTATCTATTAGGTACTCTTATTGAATACCACAGACGTCTAATAATCCAAACTGTAAATCTCTGCTAGCCTAATGTGGATAGCAGTTGTGCTCTTTTGGTACAAACTGTACTCAAGTAGCCAAACAGTCAGCATGAGCTATTGTACTTGTAAACTAAGAGCAGCCCTGGGTGAGGAACATCACCTTGCACTTTGATCTGATTGATTTCTGCTTGAAACCACTGCTTGATTGAGCAAAGCATTACTTGACTCATTGCAGCCCTCGTTCTGGCACTGTTCTGTGTCAAAGCACTCTGCTGCACCATAATCCAGTGCTGCGTATGGTCACAACTAACATGGGAAAGGAACGAGTGCGACAAAGAAAAGACTCAGAAGCTAAATATGCCTGAAAGCATTTTTTTCCTTAACAAACCACTTCTCTAGGTTGGTCAAAGCTTTGAATGGCCTTCTGCCAGCTTTTGGTATCCCTGTTTTAAAGCCTGTTAACAGGTTTTAAATGGGTTGCATAGAAGTTTTAGGGGGCTGGAAACAGCTTTGTTGTGTTACCAGCCAACATGATTTACACGGGGCTCCTACTGATAGATTATCCTGGCAGCTCCTCTGCTGAGCAGCATCCTTCGGGAAACCGAGCTGTTACTTAAGCATGAGGAGGCGCAGGCCCTTGGTGTGGAATGGAAAGCCAGGCTCACGTTTCACGCTAAAAGAGAAACAGGAATCTTGAATTTAGGATTATCACGAATTAAATAAAGTCTGGCTTGGTGACACTAGATTTAATTAGTGATTAAGTTTACTTGGCCCAAGATCGAGAAGAGCGTGCCCCCGGCAATGGAGCGCTGCCGCAGGGATTCTAGAACAGCAAACAGCTCGATGTTCACTACCCATACGGCGGCACAGAGCGAGAAACTGAAAGGCAAACCCAGGCCAGCAGCCCCGGCCCGCCTCCCTGGTGGGGGTGTGCGCGACCAACTGCACCTGCGCGGGCGTCGAGCATGCGCACAGCGTACACTCCCTGTCCAGCCCCCGCCCGGGCAGGCAGCGCCCCTTTCTAGTAACTTCCCCGAAGCGTTGCGTCATCAGTGCGCGCCGCGGCCAGGCTGGGGTATTTCCGCCCGGCGCTGCGGGAGCAGGCAGAGCCCGGTGGGGCGAGGCGAGAGCTAGGGGTGGCTGGGCTCGTGCGGAGCTGCCGTGCGTTAGGAGCTGGCCCGGTCCCGCTCGCCATGTCGGACGGCGCAGACAGCCCCGCAGGGAGCCGCAGCGCCCCGGAGTCCCCTGCTCGGGGCTCAGCTGCCGACGAGCCGCGGATCATCAAAGTCACGGTGAAGACTCCCAAAGAGAAAGAGGAGTTCTCCGTTGCCGAAACCAGCAGCATCCGGCAGGTGAGGGGCGGCCGGGAGCGAGGGAAGCGCGGCCCGCCGCGATCTCTGCCGCGATCTCTGCCGCGGTCTGCGGCCTCAGGCCGCGGGGCCGGGGCCCGCGCCGGTGACGAAGCGGCTGCTGCCCGCCGGAGCTGCGCGGGGCTGGGGTCCGCTCCCTGTGGGGCGGTCGCTGAGGCGGCCGCAACCCTCCGAACTCTCGCTCCCCACGGTTGTGTGCCGGCTCGGGAGGGGGCCCGGGCCGAGCTCTTGCCGCGTTGCCCGGTTGGGCTGACTCAGGCTGGCGGGGGAGGTGGCTGCTCGCTTGCCGGCGGGGCTACGGAGAGCGTGCGCAATCACCTTCCTGAGAGCTATGCGGAGCCGGTCGTTATCTTGATTAAAAAACGTACCTTAAAAAAAAAAAAGTCAAAAACAAACAAACAAACAAAAAAAAAAAAAACAAAAAAAAAAAAAAAAAAAACAAAAACAAAAAAATCGAGAACGCCACGGCGAGCATTTGAATTTTAGGGAAGTTGTCTTTTTTGACAGATCGTAAAATTTGCACTGCAAACGAAGTGCAGCTTCAGCTGTGCTTCAGTGTGCTCGTTATCGATATAGGGCACTGCACGGTGGTACTGCTTAGTAGCTGATGTGCTGGGGTCTTTTTTACATTCTTAAGAAAGCCAGTTTCTTCCCCCCCCCCCCCCCCCGTACCCTCGGCTTGAAAGAAGTAGTGAATCATCGTTTCAGTTTCTTTTAATGATCCTGTTTGTCCTGGAGGTTTTCTCTGCAGGTATTGACGGGGACTTTTGTTTGAATTAGAGGACAAGCAATCATAGAGAAACTACAACCACAGCCTGAGGTAGAGTCTGTGAAGTCAGTCTTCTGCCAGGCTGGATGTGGGTCTGTGCAGCCTTGTGTAGTGATTGGCAGCCCTGTACGTAGCAGGGGGATTGAAACCAGGTGATCGTTGTGGTCCTTTTCAACCTAGGCCATTTTGTGATTCTTCTGCTTGTGAAGGGGATGGGTACTGCTTTGAAATACTCCAAAAGGTGCAGTTGCCTGGAGGGGATTCAGAGCTTATTTCACTTTCCATAAGATTTGTCTGAAATGTTCCCTGAAGTATTTCTGGATGAGGCAAATCAGCTTGACTTTTTTTTTTCTTTTTCTCCCCTCTCCTGTATGTAACTGGTAACTGAAAACTAAAACATGGGTGCATATATGTGAGCTCCACTGGTTGTAGGAATCCAGCCATCAAACTTGACAGCCTGAGTGACAGGTTAGAAAGCTGACTTTATTGCAGCTCTGATTCCCCAAGCATGCACGCCCAGCATGTAAAGCACACAAATCCCATATGCTTCAACGTGTAAGCATACGTACAGTTTCCACGAAATGCCTGCCTATTTCTAGAATTGCTTTATATACTAAAATGTAATGCCACACATGATAATTTAATATGGGGTTTTTACAAGTTGTAGTTGTGAGGTTCCAGTGGGAAGTGTTGCCCAGGCAAAAGGTTGTGTGGGCCAAGCCTCATATTTAGTCAGAAATGTATTTTTGAGAATCGTGGCTACTTAAGTTTCTTATTAGCACATCGACCTTGTTGTGGTGTCTGTATTATCAAACACAGCAGGGTACAGCGTATCTCCTCAAGGCTTGTGGGATGAGGCTCTGCTTTTAGGCTTCAGGTGCCCTGCTTATCTAGGAATAACAGCCTTCCCTAAACACAATGTCAGTTTGCTAAGGAGTTTGAATTAGTTGCTGAAGGCTCTGAATTTATTGTTAGCTATCACCACTGCTGTCAGAATGCGAAGCT